ATTACCTTGGTTCACGTCTAAGTCATGACAAGATCGGCAATGACTGAGGTGAGCTAGGTTCGATCGGGAGGGTGCCGAGGCATGGAGTTGTCTTGTACACGGGAGTACTTCGCGTATGCTAGTCGGTCTTTTGAATAATCGCGAACTCGTTCGGGCGCGTCGCGATTGTAACTTAGTTTTTCTTTGCTCGCGTTTTTTATATTTGATTCCCCAAAGTTTTGGGAACTTAGAAATATTAGAGTCTGTTGAAATGTAGTTTATTAGCGTTGCGTTAGTAGAGTATAAATTTTAGTATACCGATCCGAGATCCTTTTTGAAAGACACGAAATATAATAAAGTGTCAGTAGCTTCACTTTAGCATCTTTCGCTCCAAGTTAGATTAGGGTATCTTTGATACAGATAGCGCCAGCAGGCTGCGCCACTAGGGCGTATGTCGGTTCTCGATGCGTAGCCACCTCCACGTGGTGAGACCTGGTAATTGGTATCGTTTTCCAAAAGGCAATCTTTGGAAAACGATACCGAGCTAAGAGCTACGCTCCAAAGTTGAAATAATAATTATAAGCTAGATGTAAGTTAGTTATAAGTTAGTTATAAATTAGTCGTAAGTTAATTATAAGTCAATTAGAGAACCTGGTTGCCAAAAGACAATGTTCGGTTAATATAAACAAGCACGTGTAACAGGAGAAAAAATTGGATTCATGGAATATCACCAGCGTAGAGCCATCAGATATCAAGAATTATATTTTATAGTTAGAAAAAATTGAAGCAGTAATAAAAATATGTAAGGTATGATATGCTATTGAATTTTAGGTTGACTAACCATATGACATACAGGATAGAAATACTTGATGATTAAATAACAATTCAGAATGGGGAGATGATTTAGGCAGACAAAAGGGAATAAAATTAATTTAGGTGATGTCCTCTTATGAGAACAGAATAAAGAGAATACAGTGAGATTGAAAGGTATGTCATATTCCTGATCTAAATAAATATTAATATGAGTGGTCAAAGTCACTGATTATTACTAATCTGTTAAGTTTCAGATTGATGGAGCTGAGGTACATAAAGAAAGGAAAGAAGTTCTAATGAAAGCAGTGAGAAGTAAAAATGTATACTACATAGAATCAAAAAACAAAAAAGAAGCAGCATATTTATCAACAGAGAAAGATGTGTGGCATTGACATGCAAATATAAAGTTCATTGAAGAGATGGAGAATGAAGAATTGGTAATAGTTGATATTGGTATTGGTAATAGTGGAAGGTAAAGATAAATTGAATATAGAGTGTGAATGTTGCTTTAAGGCAAAAAT